GGCATGTGATGATATTTATCGCAAATAACGTGTTTAGAATAACACGTCAACAATGATACATATATATATATATTACAATATACATATATACATGTATTCTTTCAAATCCCCACGACCGGTACTCCAGAGAGATGATGGTCCTATTCTCTCGATGGATGCAGGTCGGACTGCAGCGGCGACACCCTCCTACGCCATTGGCAAATATACAAATAATCCTCCTGGAGCACGACAGGAGAGATTGCATCAAGCATGGCTCGAGCTCCCCGCGCGCTTTTATTTGTACAACTATTTGTACAACTAATATTTAATAAGTCGAAAATTATTGCGAATATAATAATTATTGCAAAACGGAGACATATAAGACATTTTGATTTATCTCGCTCCCCTTCCTCTACCTTCTCCCGAGCGATAAGGACAGTGCTACAGGACATTCCGTATATGTGCCATTTTATAATATTATGAATTAAAAATTATATTTTCTTAAATTATGTTTTTTATCTTAAAACAAATGAATATAAATTAGTTTTATATACAATAAAATTGAAATTAAATAAATATAATGTTAATTTTATTGAAATTGTATTTGAAGATATTGTTTTAATTTATTTTTTTTGTTTCCTTTAGTAATTGATATAACTATCATTTTAGTAATTAATTTTTTTTAAAGAGACGTTTTTTAAAAATATAAATACTCTTTGTTATGAAATTGCTATGCTCTTATTATTAATTATATAAACATTTATATAATAACATTATATAAACATTTTATAATTTCCTTTTTAAAAGGAAACGTAAATATGCAAAAATTTGCAAATTTCTACTCAACTGACTCAAATGACAAATATTAATATAAAATCGAACATAATTATTAAGCATTAAAAAAATTCTACCATCTAAACATAGAGCGTTCGTTCTATTTCTATTTCTCGATAGATGATATCACTTCAAATTTAATATTATGTTTATTCATTTCTTCGATCAGAGATGTCTTACGAATGCAGCACCAGGAGTGAGTACTCCTCCGCTATAAAAATATAATATAAATATATAAAAGCAAAATAAAAGTTATTTTATATTTATCTTACGTTATAAATTTATTCAGACTTTCAAAAATAATAAATTCTAAATCTTATCAGTTTTATTAAGAATTGTAATTGCCGATAAATCGCTACAATACTAGTCATTTCATATGCAGGAGAATCACCGCTGACTTTCGTGACTACTTTCTTATTAAGTGGATCTGTATATTTGTCAATAGGTTCAGCCAACTTTTCAGTCCATCCGCAGGCTTTAAATATTATGGAAAAATGTGTTGATTTTTGTGTTTCTAATTTCGGATTTTTATGGCCCACAAGACCGTATGAAAATAAAGTCGGATACTGCAAATATCAATTTAATTATCTTATTCTCTGATACTCTGATCTAAATGATTTTAAAAATTGCATTAATTTCATACATACTTTTAGAAGTAAATTGCGACTATATGCTGTGAGAGACGTGAAAAATAAAATCATGTCGAGGATGGCAACCGCCAGGCAGACAAAGAAAGACCTAATGATAAGTGTACATTAATCAAAATTATTTTCCAATATTCATGGTTTATTTTTTATTAGTATTATACTAACTTAAACGTGATGTAAACTTGAATTTGAACGGGCCTTTCTTTATATTTCTTTATATTTCGTGTAAGAATCGTTGCGAAGAACTACGAAACGATCAGTACTTCGAAATGGTATAGACCATCCTCCAGACGCGTCGCTTCGATGTATACCTCTGCAATTAACAAATTATTAGTCCTGCTATCTATGCAATTGCATTATTCCTCTTTTTCGAGTTCATAAAGCTCACAAAATTTTTAAACATTTGATATACATGCAAAACTGACATATAATTGATTTACAATAAGATACGATTTTGTAATTATATACGCAATGTCTGGAAAAATGCATACTTTGATTTAATTTAGGTGTTAATTCGGGTAGTTTGGTAGGATATAACTTTGCACGCAATTCTCGTTGTTCATGTATATTAGCTAGATTATGTATTATTGCGAACTTCCAAGTTACATAATTTAAAATAAAAATTTTCTCATTAGTGTCAGTTGAAAATGACTAATATATTTCAATAGCATTGATTTCTCCTCCAAACTTCTGTTGCGTGAAAATAATTCCCAAATCGCTTGGAATACAATCAAAACCGCAAGCGTTTATTATGTAAACGCCAGCTTCTTGTGCTGCTTGATTATATTTAAATTGCATTCTCTGCATAAACTACAAAATATCGAAAATAGTAAAATAAATTAACATTGTTCATTGCGAATTGCGTAATAAAAACGTATATTAAATTATCTCTTCTTCACCAGTGACATCAACGTAATGAGTACAAGTAACGATACAAACTTTAATAACTGGTTCTCCGTAAAATCTATATGGACCACAAGAATTAATAAGTATCTTTGCTCGCTCGGTCATTTTCTCGAGAGACATCTCATCTTTTACATCAGCCAGAATAATAGGTATATCATCTAAAAAGATATAATATATTCTTGTAATATAAGAATTTATTAACAATAAGCAAAGTGACTTGTTTTCTCTTGACATAATTAACTCTGTCTTAAATATACCAGTATCTGAGACAAATTCCTTAACGATTGCTTCTAATGCTTCTCGTCTACGACCGGCAATATCAAATTTCTTCTTATGATATATGTTGATATATTGTATTAATTTCATCTTTCTTAATTTTTATTTTTTATTTTTTGTTTTTCATTTTCCATTTACATGTATACCTATGATGCTTTTATTATAAATATTTAAATTATTAAATTTGATTTTTTTCTAGATTTGGATACAATTGATGTCAGTAATTTAAACAGACAGTTTCTGTTTCAAAAAAAACATATAGGAAATCAAAAGCCAGCATAGCATGTGAAACAGGATTGACATTTAATCCAGATGTCAAAGTGATATACTATCACGATAGTATCATATCGTATGTTTAAGTATCTTTGTTACTAATCTTATTACTACACTTGTTACTATATCATTGATTCTCAGTGTTTGTATTATTTATTTAGAACTTCTTTTTTAAATTTCTTATATATGTTTACAGATCAGAATTTGGCCCATCTTTTTTCAAAAGGTTTACCGTTTTGAATGCTCTTGACAATAGAGCAGTTAGAAATCATGTGAATCGTATGTGCCTATATAGCAGATATATTAATTGAATCTGGTACTGCAGGTTATGAAGATCAGGTTGAACTCATTAAAAAGGGCTAAATCAATGTTATGAATGTACACCTAAAGCTGTACAAAAGACTTATCCTGGCTGTACCATTCGCAATACACCCAGCGAACCCATTCACTGTATAGTATGGGCTAATCATCTCTTTAAGTAATTATTGTAGAATAATCTGCATTAAAATAAAATTTTGTATGTTATGCTTTCTAAATCAAATTTGTGATTTTGATTTAATTTTCATTTCTATTTGTCAAAAATTTCTTTTGATTTCTAAACAATTTTTAATGATTTATTTTATAATGTCAATTGCAGCCAATTATTTGAAGGAGAAGATCCTGATCAGAATGTTTCTCCAGATACAGCAGATTTAGAAGCAACTGGTAATATAAATCGTTATATTGTGACATTCAATATAATTTATAAGTATATACATAATACAACG